TGGTGGCCCTGCATGTGGCAGGGGGGTTGGAGATTCATGACCCTTGAGGTCCCTTCCAACCCTGGCCGTTCTGTGATTCTGTGATTATGTATTATTTTATTCTACTTCTATTTTTCCCACCAAGGGTCCTGGTCATGCAAGCACATAGTAGATGGGAGCTATCATGGATGGGACTACAGATGCCAGGAGCCACTAGGGCTTTGGGATACTTCTCTGCAACATGTACATTTTTTCACAGAATCTACAACATCCTTAACATATGCCCGATCTTTGGAGGCACTCAAGGCTAGGATGGATGGGCCTTGGGCAGCTTGATTTGGTGGGTGGCAGCCCTGCCCACAGTAGTGAGGTGGAGCTGGACAAGCCTTGAGGTTCCTTCTGACTGAAACCATTCTACTACTCTATGATTCTATGATATTTTGAATAACTAAATGTAATTTTGATGCATTTAAGTGGAGCCTTGATGCACTGCTTTCTTCTGGTATCTTTTTTACAGCTGAGTGGAAGTTGGAGCTCCTATGCAGTAAAGAATCTTTTAACAATGTAGAAAAGTTTCAGGAAATAGTTTCAAACAATGGGAAAGATTTTCATAATAGTTCAACATGAATCATGATGAGATTTAAACATTTATTTGCTGAGGATATACGCTGGATTTTCCATCTTAATCCCACTTGCTAAATACTGCACTTGGCTCATGTGATTGGGTCTCTTGACTAAAAGAAGAAACTAAACTTTTCTATGGAGGAAGCAAATTAAAAACACCTACTTTTCAACGGCAACAGCAGGATCACCTTTGCTTTTGTAAGAGGCAGAGCTTGACTCTGCTGATCCAAAGCATGCCCTTGTCCTCTGCCCCAGCCGCTCCCTCAGCACAGAGGGAGTGGCTGCCACACTGGGACCAGACAAGGCTGGGTGAGTCACCAAGCCCCTTGCACAGAGGCCATAGGTGAGACCATACCTCTCCAGGATGCTTGTGCTGACAATTACCAGCGCTGGAAGCAAGCACACCGTCTCTGCAGGAAAGATATGCATTGTTTTAGAAGATAATTCATTCAAAGCCTATAGAGAGAATGCCAGCAGACATCTGTACTTCACAAAAATAGCACCTGATGCATACTGTACATCTTGGAGACCCCCTTTCCTGAGCCAGCACTAAAGAAGGGCTTGGCTGCTTTTAAGGTTTTAAAAGCAGCGGTGAATTTTCTTTGTTCTCTGGAACCTGTGAACTTTGAACTGCTGCTATCTCCAGAAGGAAAACAAAGATCTAATGCTGCACGGATCCTCCCATGCATGCTGGCTTTGGGGTCAGAACTGTGGTGGGAGGAGGACAGTTTTGCAGCTGCCAGTTTAAAGTGGATAAAAGCTAGAAATTCAAAGTCAGGGGATACTGGCACAGCTAGGAGCTGTTAGAAGCAAACTGATGCTGTTTGACATTTATTTCAAAACATCAGACATTTTCCTTCTGTAAAATATGAAATAGTTTTCCATACCAGAGAACAGAAGTTTCATAATATTTAAATTATTCCTGCTTTAATCTGTTAAAAAAAAAAAATAATAATGTGCAGAAGAGCTTCTGGTCTTGTTGTGGGCAAGCTGCTAGAAGAGATTTCCTTTCAAAGGAAAGCAGTGCAAAGGATTTTTCAAAGAAAATTAAATTAACTTTTTATTCCATCATATCAGCATTCAAAAATGGCGAATGATTGTAAATGCATGTTTGCTAACACATCTTTAACCGTGCACTGGATAGGCAACTAAAAGCTGTTTCAGAACTCCACAGAGCCAATTGAAAGATTAAGACGAAAGCTACAAATCAAGGATCTTCTCTGACAGCCATTTGATGTAATGAAATGCTTTCAAGTTATGCTTAAGCATCAGACTAGGATTGGAATCTACTTGTAAATCACCATATTAAAAGTACTATAAATAAAGGCTCTCCAAGACATGCTCTATGTCACTTATCTTAAACAAGAATTACTAGAACAGAACTTCAGTGTTTGGCTAATATTAGCTGATCCTGTCACATTGGTTGCTGGATCTGCCCAAAACTGCACATCTGGCCCTAAACTCTTGTTCAACAGCAAGTGTCCCTCATTAGTCAACAGTGTGCCCAGGCAGCCAGGAAGGGCAACCATATCACAGGGTGCACTAAGCACGGCATCGCCAGCCAGCCACCTGAGAGGAGGGTTTGTTCTGCTCTACACTGCACTGGTGTGGCCTCACGTTAACTACTTTGTACAGTTTGGGGCACTACAGTACAAAAAGGATGTAAAACTATTTGAGAGTGTCCAAAGGAGGGCTACAAAGATAGTAAAGGGTCTAGAGATCAAGGTGTATGAGGAGTCGCTGAGCTCCTTTGGTTTTCTCATCCTGGTGCAGAGGAGGCTGAGAGGCCTCACAGTGGCTTACAGCTCCTCATGAGAGGAGTGGAGGGGTAGCTCTGAATTCTGCTCTCTGGGAACAGTGACAGGGCCCAAGGGAACAGCACGGAGCTGTGTCACGGGAGGGGCAGCTTGATTATTAGGAAAAGGTTTTTTGCCAGAGGATGGTGAGCGTGGAACAGGCTGCCCAGGTCATGGACCCAAGCTGTTGGAGTTCAAGAAGCGTTTGGACAACACTCTCAATCATATGGTCTGATTTTTGTGTAGTCCTATGTGGAACCAGGAGTTGGACTCCATGATCCCTACGGCTCCCTTCCAATACAGGCTGGATACCAGGAAAATTTCTTCTCAGAGTGGTGAGGTTGCCCAAGGAGGTGGTGGAGTCACTGACCCTGGAGGCGTTCAAGAAACTTTGAGATGTGGCACTGAGTAATGTATCGTGGTGGGGATGGGTTGATGGTTGGACTAAGGAACTTTGGATGTTTTTTCCAACCTTAATGATTCTGCGATTCAATGATTCTGTTCACCATACATTGTTACAATACGTAAGAGGGGAACACACTGTCTTTACTATGAGAGTGGTGAGGTGCTAGAACAGGCTACCCAGAGGGGTTGTAGATGCTCCGTCCCTGGAGGCATTCAAGGCCAGGTTGGATGGGGCCCTGGGCAGCCTGGTCTAGTATTACACGTGGAGGTTGGTGGCCCTGCATGTGACGGGGGGGAGGGGGATGGGTGTTGGAACTCTATGATCCTTGAGGTCCCTTTCAACCCGGTCCATTCTGTGACTGTGATTCTGTGATTCTGTGTCATTGAGAAGACTGCAGTAAGGCTGGTTCCCTGGTGAGCATCACTGGTAGCACTATGACCAGCTGCTTCCAAAATTATTTATAATTTTGGTGATCTTAGAAAGAGCAATCAGGTAAGCACCTCTTATAACAAACGATGTAGAGGAAGTGTATTTACTTGTTTCGCCATCATGAATAATCAGTTATGTCTTTGTCAGCATCAATTAATGAGGTGTATCCAGGAGAGATCTCTGCCAGATAGGAGTAGGAAGGATATAGCTGGGAGCACGTTAAATAGAGGATTACGGGAATTGTCAGAAGGCCGCGCTAAAACAGCTCACTATTTCATTTTCCCACGAAAGTGTACGTTCTCCTATCAGTCACTCATTAATTTATCGGTTGGCTGTCAGTTTCTTTGCACACCTCGTCCTTTCTCGGCGGGGCGGTGCCGGGGGCTCCCCGCGGTTTGGCCGGGCCGGGCGGGGCCGGGCGGGGCGAGCCGGGCGCTACCTGCCCCCTCCCCGGCGCTCCCCGGCTGCTCTCTCCACCCACCCGCGGCTACTAGCGCGCCCCTCGCCGGGCCGCCTCCATTTCCCTTGACGGCCGCAGGAGGTGACCCCGTCCCGGGCGCGGCGCGCAGACGGCGGCCATGTCGCGGGGCAGCGCGGCGGCGGCGCGGCTGCTGGTGCTGTTGGTGAGTCCCTGCCCGGGGCTGGGCCGGACAGTGGGAGCCGGGAGGGAAGCGTGGGCGCTGCGCGGTGCCCCGGGGGCCGTGTGCGGGCGCGGGGTGTGGGGAAGGTGCTTCCCGTCGAGGCTTGGCAGCTCTCGGGTTCGCTTCCTGAGAGGGAGGTGAAGGGAAGATCGGAAAGTTGGGAAAAGTCGGGAAAGGCGCTGAAAACAACGTCTCTGTGTCTGGAGATAGGTGGGTTTTTTCGGGAATCCAGGAGGATTAAGGGAATTGGTACTGCTGTCATCGTCTTGTTCAGTGTACTGTCTGTAAACTGTGTTACCTGTTGGGAGGAGCCATGCTGGGGGGAAAATTGATCGTATGTAACATTTACTGGAAATCTTAGAGAAAATAGATGAAACTCTTACAAATACAAGATACATGGGTTTTCCCTTTCCTTGCTCTCAACCTTTAGATCTTTTGTTCTATGGAATAGCTTTCCATGCTAGAAGCATGTTCTGAATGTACTGAGACCAAAGAAAGCTTGGATTTGGTTCAGGCTGGTGTTTTCTGTCCGTTTCTAGCGACTCCCCAAGAAGCTTTCCTTGAAATCAGAGGCGTTACTGAGCAGTTCACTCTCCCTGCCTGGTGAGTGTGCTGCCTGGTGAGTTCACGCCTGTGAAGTTGGGCAGCCACTGCCCAGGCAGAGTGGAGGCCGGCCTGGCCGGAAGCAGAGAGCTGAGCAGGGCTCAGGAGGGCTGCAGGGAGCTGGACAGGGTTTCTCATGCTCAAGGTCCCAAAAATCAGGTTGAATGGAGATCTGTTGCCTTGCAGCTTTAAAGCGGGATGTAATATTCCAGGTACTAATACTTCCCTGCTTGGTTGGTGACAGGAGAGAGAAGAACTGTGGGGTGTTCCCTTTTTGTGTGTGTGTTTTTGTGTGGGGTGGTTTTTAATCAAGACAAACCCATTGTTGGGGTTGAAAGTAGCTGCTTGTGTGAGCATCCAACTGGAGTCACTGATGTCAAAAGGTATGCAAAGAAGACATAGATAATTGCAAAACCCAGAGGACTGACTAAAAAGCAAAATTTAAAAAAAATAATAATTACAATGTACCTTCCACATTGAGAACTGTTTTTCCTGGAAGTATTTATTGGTTAACTGTGCTCTCTTTCTACCTGTGGTCTGCATCCATAGCATCAGTCCTGAGGATTTTATGAAGGTCCCAGCAGCTTTCCTGTCTCTACCTCTGACTTTTCTCTAGGAACATCAGGGTATGCCCAGCGATGGTGCTTGTAGGGTTGGGACCAACATGGGTCGTGTCCAGGGCACACACCTGGAGCCGTGGCCTTGTCACATAGGCACAGCCAACAAGGGTCATTGCACTATTGTCTTCAAGAGAGGACATGTTAGAAAGTGTTCTGTATTTGAGTGAGAATGGATTTGAGATTTTTTTTTCCCATGAATGTTTTCTTAGGTTGTACATCCTTAATATTTGATATTTTAGACATTAGACTAGTACAGAATACTTGGAATCACTATTGTAATGTTACCATCAGTAGCAATTTCTTTTCAGAATTCATAGGAACAATGCCAACTGTATACTGTGCTGCATCAAAAAAAGCATGGCCAGCAGGGCGAGAGAGGTGATCCTGCCCCTATACTCTGCACTGGTGAGGCATCCAGATGTGGTGTGCTCAATACAAGAGGAGACATGGACCTGCTGGAGCACATCCAGAGGAGGGCCACAAAAGTGATGCAAGGGATGGAACACCTCCCTACGAGGACAGGCTGAGAGAACTGGGGCTGTTCAGCCAGGAGGAGAGAAAGCTCTGGGGAGAAAGCAGCATTTCAATATCTAAAGAGGGTGTATAAGAAAGAAAGAAATATACTCTATAGTGAGGTCTGTTGTAATAGGATAAGGGGAAATGGGAAAATAGTTTCAAATGACAGGAGATTTAGTCTGGATATAAGGAAAATAAATGTATGGTTAGGGTGGAAGAGGTTGCCCAGTAGTGGATGTGGTGGTGCCTCATCCCTGTAGACATTCAAGGACAGGCTAGACCAGGCTCTGAGCAGCCTGATGTAGCTGTAGGTGTCCATTGTAGGGGTTCATTGTAGGGGAGTCCCTTCAAATTTAAACGATTCTATGATTCTGTGAAACAAACAAAAAAAACTGACTAGTTTTAGTTTTTCTAGAACTGATTAGTTTTAGAAAAAGCAAAAGTGAGGTGATTTCAAGAAGCCTACTTTCTGTCTGCAAAAACAGAAAATAAACAAAATGGCAGTGCTGTGGTGAGATATGAAAGCAGGTGTGGAACGCCTGAGATCTGTGATTTTATCTGTTTGGCTGAAGAGGTGTGTTATCTCAGATGTCATACACGAGAAGAAATGGAATTATTACAGGAGAGACTAGAGAAAAGCAAAAAAATATATAATATAAATTCAGATATTCCTAGTTCATCATTCTCATAGTGATACTAAAGAATTGGAATTGTGGGTAAGATGGATGATGTTTTCTTCTATGTGAAAGGTAATTGTCATGAAGAGGGAGTTTTGCTGTTTCCTAGTTACATTATCTACTTTACAAAGAGAGAGATTCAGTTTGAGATAAAGACATCTTAGTATAGCTGTTTTGGTGTTGGCTATAGGACACACATACAGTGGATATAGAGTGCACCTGTTTGATTGGATCAAATTGTGCTTTTGAAGCAAATCTCCAGGGTGTGACAGTCTGATTCTTTGAGATTGAAACTGTCCTCAGAGATGTTTCCATCACCTCTGTGAATGTTTATTCCATGGCATCAGGCTAATTCTAGTCCACAAAGCTTTACTTGGGTACTGTTGTGTTCTCAGCAGCAATGCTGCACTCTCCATCACTAGTTTTTAGAAACAAGTTAAACAGATATCAAGCAGCAGGTGGATGTTACTCATCCTACCCCAGGGCAGGGAGATGGACTCAGAGATAACCTCTGATGTCCCTTCAGCCCATTTCTGTAAGTGTGCAGGATGTCCACTTGCCTGTGGTCTTCAGCACAAAATAAGACCATTATAGGGTTGGGTTTCTAGTTTCACAGCAAAGCAAATAGGTGTACACACCTTCTTGCTTACTCATTCTGCATCTTCACAATATAAAATGAAGCTGTGTGTTCAAAATCTGTCTCTTCAGTCACTTCCTTCATAAGACACGAGCACACATTTGCGCAAGAGCAGCCTTGCACTCTCTATACATATCAGTCACTCCCTCCTTTTCCCCTGCCACCTCACCTATTCCAGCTGCTTTCCTGCAGTATTTCATTCCATTTTTATTACTTCAGGTTTTCTGACTAATTTTCTGTAACAATCCTGTTGTCTTTTGCCAATGCCTTCCCAGCTCCTTGTCATCAATAGATTTCATCACTAGATGTCTGAGTTTTTGTGCTGAGGCAGTGATTCACACCAAGTGACAGATGGGGGTTTTCCTACTGAGCCACTTAATAGAAGGCAACTGTAGTATATTGAAAAAGGCAGTTTCAAAATTCAGCGCATATAGAGTATGACTTTTTTTTCCTGAAAAATAATTCAATAAAAATATTTTTCTTAAGTTTGAAATTTTAGTGTATTTTACAAATTTTCAGTTAAATGCAGGATATGTCTATCTTTCGTATATATTTTTGCATCTCATAAATAAAATTCCCACTGTTAGACTCCTATATTTGATCACTTTAAAATTCCCCATGGATGAGTGACTATTATAGATTAAAAAGTAAAAAAACAAAATCATCTTTTTTAGCAAGAAAACAAAATACTTGAGGCTCTTTTGTAAGACTTTCTATTTCTAATGACTAACGGGATTTTCTCTACTTCCTTAATGTGCTCTTCTTTTATCTCAGTCCACTGAGATATTTGCAAACTTCAGGCTTTAGTTTACACTGTGGTTCTCAGGCTTCTGATACAAGGAAACTTCTCTCCTAATGCCCCTTGTCTCTGTTCATTCTTTGTCCCTTCAGTTTGTGAAAGCAAATAAGGATGTTCAAGATGACACCTTGACAGCTGCTTCCTAAAGAATTACAGTTCTTGCTGGAAAACCTTGACTGGAAAAGCAGTGTTTCCCTGTTATGCATTATCTTACTGGTATAATCTCATTAATCAGAAAAACAAATTTTAAAAATTCATATGAATATTAAATAAGATTAAGAATATTCATAAGAAAAACTTGATCTAAGATCCTGCAGCCCTCACAATGTATTAGGGAACCTCCTGCTTGCTGATTTTTGTCTTCAGGATATACACACTGGAAAAATTATAGTTTGAAAAAGTTTTGTTGTGCAGGTTGAAACCGCAGCCTGCTGCTTTTCCCAACTTTGTCCACTGCTGTGTTGCATTGTGTGAGAAAGAGAGAATTTTAAAATATTCTATCATGCTATGATGTAGCAATCAGTATAAGACAGAAGGGATCAATAGTGAGAGCCCAGATAGCAGTCTGAAAACCACTCAAAGAGAGAATTTAAGTATTTAACATATTCTCAGTGGCTTGGATGAAGGGATAGAATCTACCCTCAGCAAGCTTGCTGATGATACAAAGCTGGGACACAGCAGAAGACTGGGCTGCTGATCTGGGAGACCTGGACAGGCTGGAGAGTTAAGTGGAGAGAAACCTTATAAGGTTCAACAAAAGCAAGTGCAGAATCCTGTACCTGGGGAGGAATAATCAGGTGGCCAGCAGATTGAAGGAGCTGATGTTCCCCCTCTATTCTGCTCTGGTGAGGTCACATTTGGAGTACTGTCTCCAGTTCTGAGCTCCTCAGTTCAAACAGGACAGGGAATTTCTAGAGTCCAACGGAGGGACACAAAGATGATGAGAGGCCTGGAGCATCTCCCTTAGGAGAAAAGGCTGAGAGAACCTGGGACTGTTCAGCCTGAAGAAGAGAAGGCTGAGGGGGGATCTTGCCAATACCTGTAAATATCAAAGGGACGGGAGTCAAGTGAATGCAGTTGTGCTCCTTTCAGTGACAGAACAAGGGGCTAGGGGCACAAACTGAATTGCAGAAAGTGCCAACTGAACATGAGAAAGAACTTTACTGCAGGGATAACAGAGCACTGGCACAGGATGCCCAGAGAAGTGGTGGAGTCTTCTTCTTTGGAGGTATTTAGAACCTACCTGGATGCCTATCTGTGCAACCTACTGGAGGGAACCTGGTATGGCAGGTGTCTACATGATCTTTAGAGGTCCTTTCCAAGCCCTATGATTCTGTGGTTTACTGACTTCAATAGACAATCACTTCTCTAAGCCTACTTTTCCTTAGGCTTTTGGATCAATAAAAATCACCTTTGGAGCATCAAGAAATGCAAACACATGTTCTCTGATAATTTGACTGACACTCCAGTTGCTTACGGTTAACAAGAAGCACCTAACTGCAGTGTCTGAGGGCATGCATAGCTATCCTGAACTCTTAGTGGATAAAGAAATGTGCTGCTAAAGTGACACTGAATTAATACTAATAGTTAACATAACTTTCATTACAGATCTGTCTCAGTTGTGGAAATGGACTCCATTGGAAGGTAAGAGATAATGCTTTTCTTCATCAGTACCTGAAGAATGGCCTTCTGAAGAAAAAAAAAAAAAAGCATTGAAGACATGCTTTATTTAACTTGATAAGTTCTGCTGTTTTCTGAACAATTAAATCTGTATAATGGGTAGCATTATAATGAAAGCACAAGTGTAAGAAAAGAACCAATCCTACATCCATCAAAAGAGTGACATTCAACTTCAAGAAACTGTAGCAAAAATGTTACATTTGTAAATATCTTTTTTAACTCTCCATAAATGAAGTCAACTGCTATGATATAGTGTTTGTTGTGGATCTGGAGACCAGCAGGACAGGAGGAGGGACAAGAGTCAGCAGTAATGAGGGGTACCTGAGCAAGGATAGCTGAGACAGTGAATGGGTTGCTTATTGTATGTATCCTGTATTACAGAAGAAGGTGAGTATTAGTATTGATGTTAAACAGCATAATGAGGCAGAAGTAGTTGTTTATAGCAGTATCAATGGGCAAACTTCATTCCACATCTGGTGACAAGCACTTCGATCTGTCAGAACAGGTGTATTTTCATCATACCATGGTCATGTGAATGTGGGTTTTATATGTCTGTCTTGATTAAAAGATTACTGTAGTTTTTTGTTTCAAACAACTTCAGGAATGTGTAGTTTTAAATTGTGATTCAGAAGGCTAGTGCTGCTCTATGATTTCAGAATTACTAACTATTAAAAGAGTGTATAGCCTCCTTGGAAGAAAATAAATGGTAAGATCAGCACATGGTTTTGTGCAAGCAGAATGCCCAGATTATGGCCTATGCTATTCAGAAGCCTGGACTAGCACAACAATAAAGCACTTTATCTTAAGTGAGTAGATGTTATGCTGACATTCAGCCTTGTTTTTTTTTTCGCAGGTTTACAATCGAAGTGTCAGGAATGGCACATTAACTCATCCCAACAGCCTTGTCAGACAGAAGCGAGAATGGACAGTCCCTCCTGCTTTCATACGGGAAGAGGAAGACAATTCCTATAGGAATCCAATTGCTAGAGTAAGCCCTGAAAAGAGATAAATACAGAGTACACAGAGATGAAAATATAAAATAAAGATGTAGCTGCCCTAACCACAGACACAGACATTCCTTTAATTATAATGTACTATTGAATACTCGTAGAAGATTGGCACATTTCCTTCAGTTTTCTTCTTAAGATGAGTTACTCTTGAAGCTTGATTTGGCTGAGTCTTCCATCTTTTCCCAGTCAACAATTTTCATAATACTTTTGGAAATGCAGTGTTTTTGAATTTTTTTCACTCTACCACCCAATCAGAGTTGCTCAGCTCTGGTTCAGGGTGGCTAACAGCTCCCAAAACTGCTGGTGGTGATTGGACAGAAAGGTGTACATGGAGCGGTCAGACTCTTCCTGCACTTGTATGCTATCCAACTTTCTTTGTCCAAGTAGTCAAGAATTTTCTTCTCTCACAGACCTCTCTGTTCTGTTCCAGCTGTTGCACTGTCCATCCCATTCCTAATCTCCCTTGGACTAGATCTTCAAAGAGGCCATGTAACTTTTTCTTCTGCTTTCATCTCAACATCTACACACTGTAAACAATGTAGGAAAATTAGTGTTTAATACTAATTTTTGTTTGTTCATTACGAAAATGGCTAAAAAGATTATGTGTTTTTAAATGTGGTTTTATTTGCCAATTACTATTCACTCTATCATGTTCCTCGTAGATACATTCTGATTTTGAAGACACAGGGATAGTGGTAACTTATACTATATCTGGTCAAGGAGTTACAGAACCCCCTTATGGACTGTTTGTTATCAATGGAAAGACGGGAGATTTGAACATCACAGGAAGGGTTGACAGAGAAAAGACTCCAGTGTTATTTGTAAGTTGAACAGTAACTTTACCCTTATAAATGATCTTCTTTCCTTTTTTAATAAAAAATATTTATTATTTCAATAGGTTTTAATGTTTCTGGCATTTGTATGTGTGTATGTGTATATATACATATATATAACTGCTAATAGTTTTATATATAATGTTGCTATATATTTTATAGTTTGTGTATGTGCTCACATATATATGTATTACAGTCACTCATTTTCTTATTGTTTCTGTCTGAATCATTTCAGTTGCGAGGTCATGCTCTAGATAAGACTGGAGCAAAACTGGAAGAGCCAATAGACCTCCCAGTTAGAGTTCTAGATATAAATGACAATCCTCCAGTGTTTTCACATGAAGTTTTTGTTGGATCAATTGAAGAATTAAGTGAAACAGGTAATATTTTATATTTTTTTTAATTTACCTATTCTGAATATATTCAAGGACAGAAGCGAATATATGCAGCAGCATATCTGTAGTAATAATAATTCATTATCTTGTTTGTGTAGGACGGGTTATTGAAGTATGAATGCATGTTCTTATTCAGGGCTAAGTTGTGCAGTGTAGTGAAGGGAAAGTATGCGCGTAAAGGCAACAGAGAACAAGACTTCTTATGCCAACTGTATTTGGGTCAGAGCTGCCACTAAGCCAGGGAGTCCTTAAGTAGACACTGCACAGGGAATTCCATCCATCTTCTGGCCTAGCAATTCCAGCCTATTTTGGATGCATTTAGCTCTGCTGTGTTTTAAAGTTCTCCTTTATTTAATAGTCTGGAGAAGCACTTTGATGTTAAGAATATACAACCATCACCCATACCTCAGAGAACAAGCTATTGGCAGTTTTTCTATTAACGGCAGTAAACATAAGAACAGATCTGGGAGCAATAGACTATTTCCCAGAGTAAAACATCCTAATAAATAACCTGATATCCTCTTCATTTCAATGCCATGGCAATCTGAAGATAGAAATTACTGACCATCCATTTATATTAGGTATTGAATTCCACCAGCTGCCTTTCAAGTCAGTAGCAGCTGTATGGTAACTCTCTCTTCTTGAATTCCAGCTGATGCTCAAACCCAAGTAATGGTGCTGGACACTAAGGTTGGCCCTTTCCAAGTGCAGTATCCTGTGTCATGCATATAAGGGGCTTGTAGCATGGGAGCCACCATTGATTTTGAATCAAGCTGTTGGAGGGCATCAGTCTGTAAAGAGCAGTTGTTGTATTGATGTTCATGTACAACAGTTGTTCTGCTTCCTTTAGAATGATGTATGAGGGAAATGCAATTTACTGTCTAAATAAAGTTTTGGTCTTCTTTATACAATATCTAAAGTTTTCTGTCAGAATTCTTGTGAGAGTTCAACTCACTGGATAGTTGTGATGAGTTGAATTCTACAACCTTCAGATCTGTGTTGATATGTAGTTTTGTTTTTGAGCTTTTAACATAAATTGGATTTCTAGAACACTTCTTCAGCTCTATTAAATATGCCAGAGGTAGGGGCATCAAAAAATTGTGCACTGCATCTGGCAGCACACTCTTACCTTTAATATTACATTAAAAATACTTGCCAGTGCATGGCAGCATAACCAAGTATTGTATTTTGTTGTTTTTTTTTTTCAGGTACAATTGTAATGAGGTTAAATGCAACGGATGCAGATGAACCAAATAACCTGAATTCCAAAATTGCTTTCAAGATCATATCCCAAAGCCCTAGTTCTGCATTCAGTATGAATAAAGATACTGGCGAGGTTCAAGTAGCATCAATAAACCTTGACAGAGAGGTAAAAAAAAAAAAAAAAAAAAAAAAAGTATCTGTTGATAGCATTCTTCTGGTACCTGTTGTCACTTCTCTCCTTCCTTCATCCCTTCATCCCAGTTGGGTTTAAAGGACCATTCCTCATCTGTCTGATGTATGTTTTCCAGTGGCTTTGGGAGGGGATGAGGTAAAGCTTGCTTTCACCCTGTCTCCTCCCTCTCACAATGCCAGTTGGTGCTGTTGTTTTCTGTCCCTTCTGTGCATCAGTTACATGACACAAGGATATCATTTCTTTGCTGATGTACCCGTGGATAGAACACCCAGCTCACCCCCTGTAAAGCTGCTGGTTGAATCTAGACTTTTGTAGATTGCTGTACAAATCAGGGCTCAAAGGATAAGGAATGGTGCTGCTGTGTAAGTGTGTTAAGTGTTGAAAGCCAGATATTTTCAGCAACTTCCTTATGCTTGCATGTATTTTCACTGACCAGCAGATGGTGATCTTTGTATTAGCTCTCAGAGGCTGTGGACGCTATCCCTGTATCTCGCACTGTCTTAATGTGCAGGTATTGCTGTGTCCTGTCTGTGGCTACTGAGATTTTTCCAATTTCCATTTGAGCACAGACTAACTCTTTGGGAAGAAAATGCAAAATTTCCAAACCTTTTTCTAAGGCTCAGCTTTACCCCAGTAGAAAGAGCTATGTGTAAGATTTAATAGTAGAGAAAAAATGACTTTTTAATTAGCCATTACTTGAGAGGTTTTGACAAAATAAGACACAGATAATACAGTAAGGCAACAAAAATTTAGACTAGTTGAAGCACTTTCTTTTTTTTTAATTATGACAGACACAAAGTAGCTACTCTTTGGTGGTGGAAGGGAAGGACCGTGGTGGTGCAGCAGATGGGAATAGTGCAACATGTTCTTTAGAAATCAAGATTTTGGATGTCAATGACAACCTTCCTGTGCTTGAAAGTTCTGCAGTAAGTACGTTCACCATTATATTTGGTGTGTTTGTACACTTGCTGGTATCCTGTTGCTTAAGAAAATCTTATGCAGACTTTCTCATACTGATGAAATGTGGTAGACTGGGACATCTTTTTACATTTAAATCTTTTCATCCTTGTAGTTTGAAGGAAGCGTTGAAGAAAACAGAGCAAATGTGGAAATTATGAGAATAAAAGTATTTGATAAAGATGAAGAGTTTTCTGATAACTGGTTGGCAAACTTTTCTTTTGTCTCTGGTAACGAAGGCGGCTATTTTCGTATAGTAACAGATGCCACAACAAATGAAGGAATTTTGACTCTTGTGAAGGTTAGTATATTCTTTGGAGACTTTAGAGTAATTAATTCTCTTCATAGAGACTGATGTGCAAATTATCTATAGTTAGTAAATAAACTATACATGTACGTGGTGGATGTCCCTCTTATATTTTTTGGTGGTGTATTCAGTAATTCTGTACAAAATAATTTTGTCCACCATGTTCTGTGTGGTGGCAGTATGTATCCAGTGGAACAGAACTCCCCAGATCTTCCTTGTTATTGGACAGCAGTGCTAGTAGCACATATGCTGTAAGCTTTCCCACATTTCTGCTCTCCTTGCTTGTCTCAGTTTATTTATTTCCCATGGCCACAGATAACTGCATGCAGCACCTACTCCATGAGCCATGGCTACAGACTATTTATATTATGGATTTCCGTGGAACTTTCATTCTTCTTTAGTGACAGGAGCTGAAGATGCATAGTATGCTAAGTTTTATTTTTCTTCTGCTCTGGTTTCCTTATCTGAAACTTGGAAATTATTAGAAATAAAATAATAATAGTAAAAAAAAAAAAAAGGCATTACTAAGTAACCAAATCGTTTAAAAAAAAAAAACGGAAGAGTAGAATAATTCTGAGTAGGGATTCACTGAAGGCAAATACAAAATATTTGTGTAGGACTCATTGCACATACCTTAAATTAATTTGATAATATAAAGTAATACCAGTGGTGCCATCCATGGAAAAAAAAAGGAGTAATCTTCTTAACATACTCTTCAAAAGGTGTTTTGAATTGAGAGTACATGCTGAACTATGGTTCTTTCCACTGTAGCATCCTCTATCAGCATTATTTAAATATTGAACATCTGGATGTTGTCTCAATATCAAATATAGTCAAATTCTGAGGGATTTCTTGTTTGTTTTTGATTGCTCTAGGAGCTAAATTATGAAGAAATGAAAAGCCTAAACCTGGGCATTGTTGTTACAAACAAAGCAGAATTTCACAAGTCCATTAAAAGCAGCTATAAAGCACAAACAATTCCAATCAAAATTAATGTGATTGATGTTCGGGAAGGCCTTGTATTCCCTGGTGGCACAAAAATGATTGAAGCAAGTGAGAGCGTGCGAGTAGGGCAGGTCATTGGACAGTATCAAGCCATTGATGAAGACACTGGAAAAGCAGCAGTACAGATTAAGTAAGAATCTTTTTATATTCCTCATAACTGAACATGTCAGAAACTACACCTTACTGTAAAAATATGTGTATTGACCTGAAATAATTTCAAAGGCAGTCTGTTCTCTCCTATACATAATTCACAACTAAAAGAATACCAATAGAATATCAATATTCTATTAGGCAGAAAATGACTGACTTGAAAATTTATTTATTTTCTGGTAAATGATGAGTGCTTGTGCTGAAATTGGCCATAGTTATAAGCAGAATCATCAGAAAGGAGTATACAGAAACACGCAGAAATTGAACAAAAAAGGATGTTTGGGTAGATAAGCCTGCATATGCATTCATGTGGCTTTTTTTAGCTTTTGAATTGTAGCTCAGCTGCTAAAACATTGTTGAACTACCACTGTGATGGCATTTAGAAGTAGTGTGAACTGACAGAGATACAAACCCAACCCTGGGTCCCTTTCTTCATGCTTGTTATACAGCCTTTCCAGGGGGCTGCTGCTCACCTGTGGCTGGGAGGAGGGTAGGGGGAAGGGGAGCATCGTGGCCAGCAGCATGCGGCCTCTCAAGTGGAACAAGCATTCTTGTTTCACTTGATAACACTGCCACACCTATGTCCTGGCTGCCTTGACAGGGAAAAGCAGGTTTCAACATCCAGGGTATGTTTATAATATAAGGTTAATAGTTGAAAGCAATTACAGTGGCAGCAGCATCAGAGTTTGGCCTGCACAAACAAAGAGTAGGCATAGTATGAAGCTGTTTTTTCTTCTGGTGGTTGTTCTGATCTTATAAATATGTGATATTTTTACTTTATGTGATTTTCATCAGATATATCAAAGGAAGAGACCCAGCAAACTGGATCACAATAAATTCAAATACGGGTGAAATCCAACTTGCTAAAAACCTCGATTATGAATCACATTATGTAGTAAATGGTACCTACACTTTTACCATGTTGGGCATAACTACTGGTAAGTTTAGAAAGCTCTGTTTCTGCATTACTGGATCAGGTGTCTTTTGTTAATCTCCTGGGGGATTTTTTTTTTTTTTTTTAATTTATTTTTAAGGGCTTAGTTTGTATTTCTATAGCTACAGTTGGCTTATCCTCCCTACCTTCAACTGCCAAAAATTTAGGTGCCCAGTGCGGTTTCCAAAAGGCTCTGTGTCTGAAGGAGGGACAAAGGCAACTCTACGAAATGGGACAAACCTTGGACTGGGTTCCCAGGATGCCTGTTTCTCTTTGGCTGTATGGAGATGAACTTTTAAAACAAGTTTTGTGAAGACATGGGTGGAAATTGTCAGTATCTCACTACGATAATAAGCAGATTTCAAAGTCCTAAATTTTCTGGAAAGCTAAGTTGGAAAGAATCTCCGAATTTCTTGTATATGTAGTTAGAATTCTTTGTAACCTGCTTATTATTGTGTAACTATGCACCGTGTTTTTACATTAAGGTAGTAAAACAACTTGCCTTCAGAAGAACTTTGTCAACACAATCATTGGCATTAAGAATGAAACACTGCTCCCATAAACTCATTTCAGAAGTGTTTATGTTTGAGAAAACACTGTTGTTTTTTTTTTATTTTAAGACAAAATTTCTGTATTTGTCGAATGTTGATTTTTCATATTTTGTAATCTTAGATCTTCCCACGAAAACAGCCACTGGCACCGTTGTTATTCAAGTTCAAGATGAGAATGATAACTGCCCAGTTATTGAGAACCCTGTACGGACTGTGTGTTCAGATGCAAATTTTGTTGATGTTACAGCTAATGATATAGATAGTTACCCAAACAGTGCTCCCTACAGCTTTTCTGTCATTGATGAGCCAGAAGGAACAGCAAGAAAGTGGATAATTGCATCCAAAAATGGTAAGAAAAAATATTTCTAATTACTTTCAGTTCTCTGGAGTTCTACAGGAGTGTTGTACTTTGCTAATTCCAATAATTCAGCTTGACTGATCCAGACAAAAAATAATTCATATATGAAATCACATTTGAGGACATGTTGCTTGTGTTCTGATGCGTTCCCTCTATCAGCTGTAAAAATAATCATGTTCTGGGGCCTGTAACCTTCCCTCAACTGGACCATTTTAGTCTAGCTTGATGAGCCAGCTATACGTAGATCATAAGTCAAAAATGATTTTAATGACTATTTCAAAACTAGATTAGCATTTTCTTCTTACATTCCTGTTCTTATAAACCTGGAAAACACTTGAAGGAAATGCTTCAAGTAGACTGAAGACACCAGAAAATACTTTTTCTTCTCAGAACAATTCTTGTTATTCATAATTCTACAGCATAACACTGCAGAGCAATCAGCATAGTCCTAATCACAGTTTAGGACTGAAAAAGAAATCTTGCCTTTCCTCACCCTATTTGTAGCCAGACTAGCAGCAATTACAGAGATTACAGCTTTTCAAAACAGGATGATATTCACCTCCTCATCTGGGATCTCTTGGGCACCTCTTGCCCAGTCCTCTCCTAGACATGGCACGGTAATATGTCTGCTAATTTCCTAATGACAGAAATCGATTTTTGTGAATTCAGACTTTAGCTGACTGGATGAAGTGAAGGTTAGTGTTCTGTAACAATCTGGCTATCTTTTGTGATGGTCTCTGCTGGTGCAAAGCTCTTCTGTGATTATCTGAGTCTTCAAGAGAGCATGGCCAGTTTGTTACCAGCATAAATTACCTGATTAAATAAAAAAGCACGTCATAAAAAAGCTGTCATGGGTATAAATTTAAGTTGGGTTGCATTGACTGGTCCTAAATGGAGAGAGCTTGTTGGGAGTTTGAGAAGGTTTACAGGAGTTAACTTTCTGTCCACTCATTTTGTATTTTTTTTTTCCCTTTTTCATTAACCCCACCCTTCTGCCTTAGCCACCAGTATACGGTTGGTTTCCCAGAACCTGAAGCCAGGCAATACTGAAGTCCCCCTGCTAATACAGGATTTCCAAGGGTTCCGCTGTGCTCAGCCACAGTCCCTGCAACTGTTTGTTTGTACGTGTACTGCTGACGGCGGATGCAAAGATAGATTTACTGGCACTGGGTCAGTGGGTCTGGGACCAGGAGCGATTGCACTAATCATCTTGGCGTTTTTGCTTCTGCTGCGTAAGTAATCATTTCATGTTATGTCAGAACCACCACAAATAGAGTCCACAAAGCACCAGGGAGTAAACTGTTGTGCTCCCAGGTTTTATCATCTTGATGGACTTTATGTAAACTCCTAGGATGTGTTCAGTCATGGCAAATCTCCAGTTAGTTTTTGCAGTATCAGCATTATACATTCAGAAGCTGTGCATTTTGAATATGTACAGCTCATGATATTAGTTTATATAACAGGTGGGGAAACACTAAGGAATCCTTTTAGCATTTCCCACACTTCCCTGTGTGAACTCTAGCTCTTCTCACTCAAATCATAGCATTCTCTCAATGTTCTCCCTAATTACAGATCCAGGTCTGGTTCCTTAATCTGAGCAGTACATAATGTAAGACGTCACATTGGTAAGAGAAGGCAGAAGCTGAAAAATAAGAGAAATACTTGCAGTCAGGGTATGGCCATCTATATTAGTACTGCATTTGAATCATAGAATCATAGAATCCTAGAATGGCCTGGGTTGAAATGGACCACAGTGATCATCTAGTTTCAGCCCCCCTGCTGTGTGCAGGGTCGCCAACCACTAGAGCAGGATGAAAGGGCAATAATTTGAAAGGACAATAATTCATTGTTTATAGTAGTAGCACTCTAGCTATGAGAAAACAAAGTTAATTCCACAGAAGTATGTTTTCCTTCTGAAATTGAATCATTTTGAGCTCTCCAGATAATGATGTAAATGTGACCACTCATGGGAGTGTTCCATATGGAGGTGTCTTGATGTAGTTAGTAACAGGACAGGAGTTGGAAATGCTGAGGTTGTACACTTTTGGGCTGGTTTTGCTATATGAGATCTTCAGTAGCAGTAAGGATAAATATATGCACAATCATCTCCAGGAGTGACAGGTTCATTGTCAGTTTACTGTTTAGAAAATTATCCCTGCTTATGTATTTTCAGGAAATACCTTGAACTTCTGGGAATTGACTGTGCTCCTTATTTGTTTGTATGATGTTCATTAACTCATTAAAGACACACTTCTGGCCAGACTTCAGTATTGGCTGTTAACATGCTTTGACCCTAATCAGTCCATCACTAATGACAAACTTGTGTTTCCCTGCAGTTATTCCACTATTACTGCTGTTGTGTCCGTGCGGCTCAGGAGCAAAGAAGGGATTTGCTGCTATACCAGACTGTAGCGAGGAGATGTTGCGTAAATGGAACAGTGAAGGAGCAGCTCCTGAGGAGAAGGCAGGTTTTCCCTGGCAGCATTTTTCTTTGATTTCCAGCCAAGTGCTCAGTTTTGCACTCGTCTCTACCGTGTAATGGACTAATGTTTTCAACCTGCGCAGCAGATTTTAGCCACATGTGAATATTAATTAAAATTAAACCCTGTTAGGTTCAGTGAAGGATACATGGAAATAAATTCCAACTGCAGTTCTAGAAACACCAACCATAGTGTTAAAATCCAAAAATAAGGCAAAGGAATCAAGCACGTGCTGATAGTATCTGATTAGAAGATAAAGTGTGGGAAAAGCATCTGTGCTATTTGCATCTGCAAGCCTGGAATGTTCACTGCCTGCTTGGGAGTGTACCGTAAAGCTGTGAATGATCAGGTTATAAAGCTTAGCTTCCCATCACCAGTTCAGTGTTTCAGTTTGCATTTTAAATTACTTTCTTGTGTTTATCTTCTTAAACAAAGGATTATTAAAAATAATAATATGATTTTAATATTATTACAAAATTTTTAAAAGGCAGAAAAAAACTTCAAAATGCAGAGGGAATGCAACAGAGAGAGAAGTGAATGCTAGAGGTGTTTCTCCTTTCTTGTCCTACACAACTGAAAAAAAGGGTATGACACCAGCCTGTTTTTACATGACATGAAGAAGTAGGGAAAAAGCTTTGATTTTAGGGCCAGCGCTCATGCCAAATTCTTGATGAAAGATTGTGAACTTGACAGGAAAGCCAAGAAAAAAAGAAAGGGCCAGGTAGCACTACAGGGACTGCAGGCAGTGCAATGCATGCTCCCCAAAGTTGGAAGGCTGAGCACGCTGGAGTTTCATAGGTCTTTTTCTTGTTTATTTCCCCCGTCCCCCCCCTCTTTCATTCTCAACCCTTTGAGTTTTAAGAACAATGACCTGTGGAAATACTTCTGTGATCTTCCTTGGGAACACAGTCATGGAAGCTGCACCCTCTTTCAGGAAGCTCTTTACTCTGCAGCAACATGAATCAGTACAAATTCGAACATGTCCTAAGTCAGCACCCTCCCTAGTTCCACCCAGCCCAGCTGCTGGTTGGTGAGCTGCATATGCTAGATAGCCCAGCTTTCATGTCACATCCTCATTTGTGTTGTTCTTGCAGTTAATGCAAAGTGTCATGCTACCCACTGCATTGGGGAACTTGAAAGAACCAGCCGGCGGAGCAGCAGTAACAGCAGCAGCAGCAGCAGCAGCAGCAGCAGCAGGAATGAGTGCAGAGGAAGCTGCAGCAGCAGGGAGCAGTTCTGCCTCTAACATAAGAGGGCAGAGCAACACAATTACCAGGGAAGCATGGGAAGGGCAAAGACGTCTCCTTTCTGATGCTGATTACCATACCAGAACTACAGCAACTGGAGGGTCTGAAGGCATGGTACTTGGAGAAGGCAATGTGGTGGTGACTGGAGGAGGTGTGGCGATGGGATCTGCAGGGGCCATGAATGAAGAATTTTTAAGAGACTACTTCACTGACGTAAGCATATGACCTGAGAATAACAGTATATTGAGATTTATGCTTAGCATTGTGAAATGCTTTTTATGTTATAAAAATGAATGGATTGGATATATGTAAACAATCCTGATAAGGGTCAATGTTGTGTGTATATGGGTGGGCCGTTAAGGACTTTTGAGTTAGGCTTACATGTGGGATGTAGACCTCGACAGTGCTAAGTTTTGTAGCATCTTTGGGTTTTTACAAGATCTCCAGTGACAAGACCTTTCTCAAGGTTTGGGATCTAGAATATTTAGCAGCGACCAAGGAGCCATATCCAGGAAGAAGCCATGAGGAAGATGATGGATATAAACATTGGGGACTTGAGCATATTAACTGTCCTGCAGGGAGGCACTAGTGACTCTTGATGAGTCACAGTTACAAACCTTTCACAGAACAAGTTTTTGAAAGATAAGCCATAGATGTCAAATAGTAGAGGGTGGGTCTGCATTTTAAAAATAGCTGATTAAGTGGTGCTGGATTTGTCTGGTTGTGCAGTAGTTTGGGTGAAAGGCAATTTACCAGATGCACATCAAGCATATGTTGCAATTCCTTTTCTGAATTATTTTTTTGCTTTTTAACTATTGAACAATAGGATAGTCCTATTCATTGCAACTGTTCCTCTTTCTATTATTAGTTGGCTGGTGAGCTACCAGCAGGGAAGGCTCCACTTCTATATGCCAGGGATGCAGAGATCGTCCTTCACATCTACAAATTAAACATCTTCAGTCTCTATTGCTGACTGACGATGGGGCTGGGCAGGGGAGTAGCTGTGCAGGTTTGAGTCACCTCAGGCTAGGGAAGGATTTGTGTATCTCCTGTGTGTTCTGACTATTAATCTAGGTGAGCAGACACAACAGTAGCAATTCTGCTCATTTTCCTTCTGAATGTTAAGACACTTCGAGCACAGTTACCTGCTGAAGTCTTGCAGAAGGTGCTTAGTAGATGTTATACAACAGGGGGATAACAGGTTAGTTAATATGATAGTCCTTTGGGTAGCTAAAATTGGGTGACTAAAATACTTCAGATACAGAATTAAAAATGAATGAGAAAAGAGTAAGGAACAAACTAGAAAAATATCTGAACCAATTGGTTCCATGTGTGTGCTAATTTCTGTAGAAGCATCTCAGACGATGTTTCTGCTCCCAGGATCAAATGCAGATTAATACATATAATCAGTTTGGATCTGGATACATACCACATTACACAGATGCCTGAGCTAATGAGCACAACAGTACTTCAAATGTGGCATGAGTGAGTCTGAGCACAAGCCAGCAACCATGTTAGTAAAGCTGGTTCAGCAGGCCCAAAGGATTTGGCCACCTTCACTCCTGCAACTGGAGCTGCTGTAAGAACATACAAAGACTTGTGCCAGCATCAGCAGCAATGCAGTTGCAGGGCAAGTTCAGTCTGAAAGCGGCATCAGCAGCAATTCAGTTGCAGATGCTGCCTTCAGACTGAGCTTGCCCTGGAAAAGGTACAGTCAGAACTTCGTTAATCCTTCATGTTCTGGGTAGAGCCATTGTATGCTGGAGTATGTTCCCATACATACCAAACTGTTTAACTCAGTAATTTGTGCACTGTTTGGCTCCTTGGGTGTGATCTTGCAGGCTAAAGAAGTGAAAAGAGCATGACAGTGATGATATGTCAGCCTTTTCTCATGAAATGTACTCTTAAATCTTAGATATTCTCAGCATGGCACTCTTCCACAAAGACCTAGTTACAGGTGAGAGTCATTCACTGAACCAAAATGTGAGTAGACTCTTTTTGAGAAAGGAGTAGTATCATAAATGGTTATCTGGGAGAAATAGCAGATGGTGATGTATCCAAGGCTTTCCATTAAATTCCAAAGTATTCTTTTTCTTCTCATCACTTTTCTGTCCAGCTCAGACTAACTTCAAAAAAGCAAAAAGCAGTTCTAGGCACTGCTCTGGGTTGGTTGACAGTTATTATAATCCCCTTGACCAAGCATTCAAGAATTGTGAAGGGCTTGGAGAGTATGCCCTTTGAGGAGTGACTGAAGAAATTGGGGCTGTTTAGTCTGGGGAAGAGAAGGCTGAGGGGAGACCTTACTGCTATCTTCAAATACCTGAAAGGTGCGAGAGCAGGGATGATCTCTTCTCACTGGTGACAGGTGACAGGACAAGAAGAAATGGCCTCAAGTTGTGCCAGGGTAAGTTTAGGTTGGGTATCAGGAAACACTTCTTTACAGAAAGGGTTGTTAAGCACTGGAATAGGCTCCCCAGGGAGGTGGTTGAGTCACCATCTCTGTATGTGTTTACAAACTGTTTGGATGTGCTCAGGGACATGATTTAGTGGTGGGTTGTTTGAGCTAGGGTAGTATGTGGTTGGATTTGATGATCTTTAAGGTCTTTTCCAACCTGAGCAATTGTATGATTCTGTGATTTTATGATTCTTGATTTTTCTTCACGTTTACTATGTCTAGAAGTAATGTTAACAAACTTTTGCTTTCTTTTGCTTCCCATCTTTAGAAAGCTGTTTCTTTTGCGGAAGAAGATGAAGCTCAAGCTGCAAGGGACTGTCTCCTGGTTTATTCTCAAGGGGAGTCAGGCTCCCCCCATGGCTCCATTGGCTGCTGCAGCTTTATTGAGGGTGACCTCGACGACCGCTTTCTTGATGATTTAGGAGACAAATTTAAGACTCTGGCAGAAATATGCATAGGCAGACACATCGACATGAAAGATGCTAGCTCCAAGAATGAATCCAGTTTTGATGTTAGTGAGCAAAAGGCTTTCAGCTCCAAACAAGCCTCTACCTCAGGTGGCTACTTCTCAACCACCGCATCAGCACAGGCAGGAGGTGCTATAGGATCGGAGAAAACATCCTATTCTGCAGAGGGCCATACCCACTCAGCTGCCAGCTTTTTAGATCCTCAGTTTAAGGAGAACATAGTGGTGACAGAGAGGGTGCTGGCCCCTGCCTCGAGCTTGAGGGGAATGGTGGAAATCCCCAGCCTGCCCTCCGGAAACAACATGGTAGTTACAGAAAGGATGGTGACATCAGAGGGCCTTGGGGTAGGAACCATGGCAGTTCAGGACCCCTCCGACTCAAAGTATATTGTGGTGAGGGAGCGGGAGAGAGTGCTTGTGCCCAGCACTGAGCAGAGCTCACTGAGCTTTCCCACCTTGTCTGAAGGGCAGAGCACGGTGGTGAATGAGAATGACCTCACAGCCTCAGCAGGGCCTGGTAGAGCTGAACAGGTGCTGATCACAGACTCCCTGCTGAGCCCTCTGGAGGGGGCACCTCCTGCCAGCTCCACACTGAGCAAGTCCTCCAGAGTCACCAAGTACAGCACAGTGCAGTACAGCCGCTCCTAGTTTTGACATCTTAACTTCTGCATGCAGCTTTCTGCAGGCTTTGTATTCAGACCTGGATTTTGTAGTGCCTTAAAAATGATGCTGAACTTGCATGTAGTGTCTTCTTCAATAAGGACTGTGGCCAAGAAGCTAGAAAAAAAATTGCTATTATAAGACATTGACAATGTTTTTGAAGTGGAATGATGCAAGATATGCATCGTTTGCTATTGTTGTAACTGTTTTGCTATCAATTTGCTATTTTTATTATTTAGTGTAATAATATCATGTAACTACAAGCAATTATGGGAAAGCAGAAGAATACTAAAATCTAGTGAAGGATGTCAAAGCACAGGTTAGGTTTCTGAGCTGCTGTTGAGTCTATCTGCTGAACCTTCCTCCCTACTCCCTGAAAGGGCATGGATCTCACCACATCTTCTATCTGTTACCTTGTGGATCAGAGCAGCTCCCCTAAACTGTAGCTGCACCCCAGTGAATTAATCGGAAACCTCCTTCCTGAGAAACCCAATTTGCCAAAGTCCTCTGGGCAGCAGTGTGTTGATCTCCTACAGGGTTGTCACAATTTCAGGTTATCAGCATCTGAATATTAAGCAGTCAATACTTCTTCTCTTTAAACCTCTGTACTAATATGCAAGTAGCAAAAAGTAGTTTTGTGGGTTTTTTGTTGGTTTTTTTTGCTGTTGTTGTTTTGGTACTTCAGTGTAAAATTTCCATTACTTGGCATAGATGTAGACTGACATGGGAAAATAAGCATTTGCATCATGAAGATTTTTCACTGTCTCTTAATTGGTCATTCGAATCCATAGCTTCTGCTAGCAAGGTTTATGTCCCTTAGGAATCTGCTGGATCTGATTTATAAGTGCAATTAATTCTATCTGTGACTTCACGGATGCAAGTAGAAGAATGAGGCCATGTGCATGTTTTTGCAGTTGTGATGATTCCAACATCAGAACTGCTGTGGCCTCTGCAGTGCTGTGTCATGGCAGCTGTCATTAGTTCTAACAGGAAAATAGAAAAACTCCCTGTAATTTTGCAACACTTGGTGTTACTTTTCTTTCTATTAAGTCTGTGGTAAAAGAGAGAGTAATGTAACGTCTGGCACTATGTATATATGCACATGTATTTATTTGTTTGCAGTTTTAAACATTTTAATGTGACTTTTATAGCAAAAAAAAAAAAAAAAAAAAAAAAAGAACAACCAAAACCTGTCATACACTACTTACATTTTATCAAGGTAGAAATGTATTGGATCAGACATTAGTACTGTGTGTGTCTCATAACTGTAAAATTAGTGAGGTAATCCAAGGGTAGTGCAAAGCCCATGGACTGCAGAGCTTTCTGGTTGTCTCCATCTCTGTTGAGTTTTCACGTCATTGTAGGTTATGTTTTCCACTGTATTTATTTGAGGGGTGATGCAGAAGGCAGTTCAAACACATAAAAAGTACAAACTGTGACTCTGCTCATCACAGTATGCATAAGTGTGTTACAGTGGAGAAGTACTTCAAGCAACTCAAATGATGCACTTGCTTGGGCCTGTGGCTTATTTATCTCTTAAACTTTATTTTTAAAATACACATCTCTGCTTTTAAGCACGCAAGCAGTTTTAAGTTGTAACCAGTTGTTTTCTCTTGCAGTTAGAGTGAACTTACCTCTGATTTTTTAATTGAGCGCTTCTGTATTTTTATGCAATCTTAAATAAAGAACTCTACCACAATTTTCTATTCTTCCTTCACTATTGGACAGCTACTCGGATGAAAATAAGGATTTTTCCATTGCAAATGCAATGTGTAGGTATAACTAGGTTTGGGATTTCCCAAATAGCCTGAAGGAATATCTTAAAGATACAGATATAATAGAAGTTTCTTTCACGCTAACTAACAGACTGTGAGGGGGGGTTGGGGAAGGGGAACCAAACATTCATTCTGCCTGCTGCTTAAAAGCACTGAATTCTTTAAGTCTACAAGCAAGATAACAGCAGTCCTACGCAGATTTACTGGGCTTTTGAGTCATACTCTTTAAACTGATTTACACCTCTTGTGCACATGACATGGCACAAGATACTGTCTGTTTTATAGTTGCTAAAGCTGAGGCCCAGAAGGGGCTGTAACAGGAACATGAAAATTCCAGCTTCACAAAGTATTGCTTATTTACAACTTCACTTGCTTAGTAATCATCACAAATGTGCTAGTGCTGTAACAAATCCATTAGAATAGATTCACTAACAGTGACTCCTGTGGCAAGAGATTACTAGTCAAAAGGAAAAACAAGCTTGTTACTAACAGCTAATTTTGCATGTTATGTTGGGGTTAGGTAGAAGCATTCTTTAAGATCTTTTCACTTGTTTAGACTTCTACCTTTCTGTAAGAGATTCCAGTATGTAAGGCAGATGGTACAGAAAGAGTTTAATGCTGGTGCATTAATATTGAATAGTGAAGACAAATAATACTTAGCACTTACTCAACATTTCATCCAAGGATCTTGAGTGACTTCATAAATGAAATCAATTTTCTCCATCATTAATTACGGTGACGGTGGAGAGCAGCAGCATTATGTCTGCCACATCTCATGCCCTTTAATGGAAAACACACCAAAAAAACCCAACTACTTTCATCAGCACTTCAGATCATATCAGCATGTGCAACTGCTGGCACAATATCCATCTGATTAAATGTATTTTTTAATGGAGCTGTGTTTTGCACATGGTTGTGGGAAGAATGCACAGACCCAAATTAATGGAAGTGCCTGGTTAGCATCCAACCAGTAGGTAAGCCTGGGACTGGCCCTAGACACTTATCTTCTGGCTTCAAAAGGAAAAATCACGTCTGTAATTTTCTATCTAAAAATAACAGCACGGTTAGGCAAGGGCTGAAATACCGGAGTGACAGGGACTGAATCCACACTGCTCTGCAAGAGTTATGTTTCCTACAAAACCTTAAAGAGTACACCAGGCTTCACGAGCATGATCCAGCATGCTGCAATGAGGGTGCAGCCCAGCAGCATTGCCAAGGAGGGCAAAAGGGGTGCTGGTCCCCAGCACCTACATTTCTGCGTGTGCATGCTTGAAGTCAGGGTGGGTTTTGGAAGACAGGGTGTTTCCTTCCAGCCTCCATTGTCTGCTGGTATTTGACCACTGTCCACCACCAAACACTTAAAGCTTGGTCGGGTTATCAGCAGTAAATCACTTAAAAGACAAAAATAATCAGCTGCTCCCCCCAGCAGGCTGGGTCTGCTGGGAAGTGTTTATGGCCTTGAAGAATCCAAGCAATCCATCACTCCTGCAGCACTCTGGTAGCCGAGCTACAGATGTTGGCTATCCCCTTCACTGGCCCCTTCACCCTCCTGGTGGCCTTTGTGGTTGCCCTGTGCTCAAAACAAAAAAATATCTGTTCTTCCTGCCTGATGAATGATAAAAGAGGAGCCTGCCCCCGCTCCTGCAGAGGAACCAACCCGGGCAGAAGGCCTGTCCACCTGCACCTGGTCTGAGCTGCATCTCCCCAGCCTTGCCTTGCTCTGCCTGCACCCATCTCAGCAGGAGCTTGGTGCTGGGCTGAGGGATCGGGGTCTTTTCTTTGAGAGTCTGAATGCCCTGTTCTGCCAACCTGGGATGGTACAGGTGAAGTGTCAAGGAAGAGCAGGGTAACAGCCTCCTGAGGCAAAAAGAAGTGGTGTGGAGAGGTGGCAGTGAGAAGAAATGGAGGCTCAGCTCTCTGCAGATCTCACATTGAATTAAAAACCTGGGGTAGGGCCCATGCTGCTGAATAAACCATGCCCAGTGCTCTGGCCCTCCCATGAGAGCCTCTACCAAGAAACTGCTACACAAATGCAGCCCTCATCACCCTTTCATCACACAGAGGTTTCAGTTTCCGGCTCCTAGTTTCACCAGATGGCCTCACCACATAGGCTGGTGCTTCAGGCTCTGGAACAGGCATAGGTGGTGATGTCCCAGCACATCCTATTACTCAGCCTGCTGGCAGCTGAAAATCAAACTCAGGAGGACTCTCCCAAGAGGAGAACAGATGGCAATGCAGGCTGTGCAGCTGCTCCCAAGAGGGATATTTACCCTCTGAAGCTGCTGCAAAGAGAGGTGCCATAGCCACAGCTCTCTGCTGCCTCCCTGCCACAAGGACAACTACTCAAGTGCTGGCGGTCAGAGTTCTTTTGCACCCTGAGTATACATGGACAAAAGCTATACGAACGTTTGGTAACAGAGACCTATGCTGCCTCCCTCATTGCACTATGTCTTTATTTCTGCAGCCAGAGAAAAGACAAGAGTAGAAAAAGCCACAGATGTAATTCTGAAGCAGCTCAGGCCTGAGTTTCTTCTCCCCTATCACACAAGTGCAGTCTGTGGGAAGGTTATCTGCCTTTTTTACAGGCCTCCACTCATGCAGCTACTGAGGCTGTAATGAAAGGCCTGTCATGGTAGGGGCCATGGCAGAAAACTGTGTTTTTATTTAATACTAAGAAAGTTTTTGACTTGCCACAGACTGAAGGGGACTTCCACAGTTACCTTGCATTAGCTGGGGAAGCCCAGGAAGAGAGAGATATGCACTGTCCAGATGTTATAGTTAAGTCATTATTCACTTTTAGTTATTGAAGTATGCATAACAAGTGATGGCACTGGTATTAAAATTCCCCTGAAACTCATTTCCTTGGGATATATAACAAAAATTGTCTAGCTGAATGGTGGGAATGTCTCCAGAAGGTGCTGGGATTGTTCTGGGGAAGAAAAGTGCCCAGCCAACAGCTGGTTCTGCAGGATGCTGGGGGTGGAAAAGTTTGTAACCCCTCCTACACCATCACCACGCTGGTTTCTGACCTATAATTCAACTGTTTCATCAGATTATTTTAGATCTGTTATCTCTAGCAAATAAAACTCAGAGACGAGCTATCTCCTCCCGGTGATTAAGTAATGACCATGATTGATTTTCTGGCTAATGATTATCCCAGATCTTTGGTCTCCTGCAGGCCTTGAAATCTGCCTCCTTAGGCTGCCAGCCTGCTGGGAGCAGGGTGGGGGCCATGCCTGGTGAGGAACATGGAGCAGGTGGCAGCAAATGTGGTGCCAGAAAGGTGGGGCTGGGCCCCAGACCATACAGAGACAAAGCAGCAAGGCTGGGACGTGGGGCTGGAAGTGCTGGGCTTCATGTGCAGCCTCCTGCCATCGCTGCCTTCCCCAGCAGCCCACATAAGTAAAGTTATTGCCTTCCTCACTTCCCTTGACTTCTGCAGTTCCTGAAAAAATTCCCAGCACTGTCTCTCTAATGTGAGCCGGATTATTTTTTTAATCTGCAAATATTACCAATTGCCTCTTTCTTCTTTTCTTGATACAAAAATGAAAAAAAAAAAAAAAAAAATGCAGAGCAAGGAATCCTGTACTTACAGCATTAGGTTTTAATTGGAGCCAAGATGATGCACTGCACCTGATGTAACTCTCATCTGACAGCACAGCTCATGCTGGCAAGGAGAGAGCCACTCTTTGTTAAAGGGAACCCACCCTTTTGCTATTTATCATCCTGTGATACACCCAACACTTTGTCCTGCAGTCAGCTAGCTTCACTTGTGCAACAGGAAAGACAGAAAGCTTCTCAGAGTCTTGAATTTGGGCTTCAGACAGATGCTGCTAAAACAGGAAAATTAAAGATAGGGACTTTCTTGTTATCTATCCATCCTGCCTTCGTTTTGTTCCTGTGAAAAACGTATGTGCAAGCTCAAGTAAGGATCCCTACAAATAGTGGATTTTTCATACTGCTGCTAAGTTGGAGTGAGGCTGTTTCTCTTCCCGATACTTTGCCCAGCAGGAATAAAATATTTAGCATAATGAAAATCATCACTGTTCAGAGTTCTTGAGGGATTTCAGGCACCTCATCAAACAAACATGCAAATCAGGCTGAACATCGGGTGGCTAAGTGTGGCTGCCCCCTTAGCCTCCTTTCTCCAATGTAGAAAACACAATAATGAGTAGTGCTCATGGCATCTCTCACTGAGCTTCCTGTGCAGTGAACAAACTGCTAGAGCTGGAGCAGATAAAACACACTGGAGTGGGTAAAGAGCTGGAGCAGCTCTCAAGGACATGCCCTAACCAAGGACAGGAGGATCGCTCTGACACTCCTGTTCTTTGAATTAACGAGCATCTGAATATTTGATGCCACATGAAACACGTCCAAGCAGAGAGACCTCACAGCATCCTTGCAGCTCTTAGGATGTTCTCATGAAAGAAAGCGAAAACAATGGAACTGAACACAGGTCTTCCCTCACATGAAGATTTCCTTTATTACTTGAATAGGGGCCGTTATAAATCCTGCTCAGTTTTCTGGTTCACTCTGTTCATATTATTTCATAAAATACTTAGTGTGAAATAGTCAGAGAGACACTCAGAGTCTTTCTTTTGGAGACATATAGTTCATTTTTTTCTGTAAGTCCTCATTCTCTCCAGTTGTGCCCTCCTCCTTTCAAATCCAATAAAATCCCTGCAAAATCTAAAAGTGTTTGAGCACCTGTTGAGCATAAAACCCCATGGTATTAGGTGCTGTGAAAGCCACAGAAAAACTGGCCTCTTAATTTTTCCAGGCCACTGGATGCATGCAGTTAGCTCTCCAGTGATAAGGAAGTCTTTTAGAGGAGATACTTAAGCAAATATTTTGCTAACAAATCTTGAGCATTCAGTGTTCCCTGAAGGACATGACTGGAATAGAAACACACCTGAGGTGACTGGTGTTAGGAGTAAGTTACAACCTAGCCAAGAAAACAATATGGGGTAGAAAGATTTGGAGCAGTCATGTTCTCTATAAACATGGTTTTATGTTCCTACAAGTTGACTTATTGCATCAGCTGAAGTTTGGGATTAATGGAAAAGGACATTATGACTGTAAGTGATGGCATGGAAGGAGGACATAAGCTGTTCTTTTAAAAGTTATTTCTGGAAGGGGATGTGCTGAATGCAACTCTAAATCTGAGCGTACAAAATTATCATCTGCTGTGCGTTAGAGGGGGGGGGAAAAAAACATTCTGTGAGGAATGTGTGCTGCCCTGGGAGGAATGTCTATCACAAATAACAGAATTTAGTGTGAGTGGGGCTCACTGCAGAGAGAGCCTCCTCCGGAAGGCCCCATGGCTCAGACAGCTCTTTCTTTCTCTCCTACATACACCTTTTCCTGCTGTGCTCTAAAGCAGATTAAGGGATCGAGAAGAATTGCAATGCTCCCCTGTGCCATCCCCTTGACGGCTCTGTACTGCTTTGTTTAGAGGAGTTTGACAGCCTGAGCTATCTGAGTGCATTAGGTTTGTTTGTGGAGCATAAGGAAAGAGATCCAGGCTTGCAGAGACAAGGGAAACTGCCCTCAGCATTTAGTTTTCTTTTTTTTTTTTCTTTCCACCTTGGTGACTGTACAATTCTTAGTTTTTTATGGCTGGCTCAGTCTGACACAACAGATAAGCTTCTGAATCACAGGAACAAAGGAATGCGTGGCATTTTCCCTGGAGTATTACCAGTGGATGAGCAGCTACTTCCTTAGAAACACCATCAGCTTACCATATTTCCTGAAACAGAACCATTAACATCATTCTTTCTGGACAGAAAAGCAAGAAGCCCGAACCCAAGGGAAAAGCCCCTGAAGCCCTGAGCTGATTCGGCAGCAGAGCCCATCATAGCTCCAGCTCCCGCCTGCCCCGGCAGAAAGATCGAAGAAAAGGCATTTCCCTGAGCAAAACTAATGGTAGAAGCTGGAGTTCTGATGGGCCTCTGACCAGCAGGTGGCAGCCTGCTGCTGCTGCTGCATGCCCTGCACTTCCCTGCAGGCAAAACGCTGGGTGGCAACGTGCTGGAGGAGGGTCAGCCAGACCACAGGGATGTATGCGTAGATTTTTGGTTCAGTCAGAAAGAAGTCATTAACTGGCGTTGAAATGGAACCAGGGGTGCTTAATAAGGCCCAAGGGGATAAAGAGCAAGCTTCTGGACTGCAATATAGCCTCTGCTTTCTTGTGTTTCATTTTGTGTAGGTAGCCAAGAACAATTTCCCACCTTTGTCATTGATCTCTTAAACAAGACATTCTCTGAAAACACACCACTATTTTTTTTGTTCTCAAAGCACAAATCACTTAGGATGGACTTATGGCATTTTCCTTTTAGAAATTGTGAGATTTTCTTTAGTGAAAAGAAAAGCAAAGCTCTGACAAATGCAATTGCAGCTAACAAATGTTGCCCTAGGGAAGCAAAGAATTTTCTTACTGCTTCTGTCATCAAATAATTCCAGAGCAAAGTCTCCAGCAGCAGCTCTCCATCCCCGCTTCCTTCACTCTTCTGTTCCTTGTCTGTGCATGGCTTTCCACTAAGGCAGCACTGCAATGTGCTGGGCTGCTCCAATCAATCAGCAAAGCTACCGGGGGGAAAAAAGACATCTCATCATCCCAGGTCAGTGTGATGGTTTCTGTTTGATTCTCATCCTAGTTTGAAAGGAGCAACTCATCAACGACACCTTTAGAAAAGAGCCCTATCATGGTCCATGCTTTCTTCATCATGGTTTACTTTATATTTTCCTCTGTATCTAGATGTAGGCACCAAGACAGTCTGGCCATTCCTTTTCCTTCTGAGCAGAGCTCAGTCTGGGACGTTAAATGAGTGAAACTTACCTTAAGCTGGAGTTCTGTATTTAATCATGGCAGTCATATAGGGAACTTACAAGATCAGGGATGGGCCAACTTGTATTCTAGACCTCTAACCAACTTGTTGCCCTTCTCTGGACACTCTCCAGGGCCTCAGTTTCTTTCTTGTAGTGCAGGGCCCAAAACTGAATGCAGTACTCAAGGTGCAGACTCACCAAAGCTGAGTACAGGAGGATGATCACCTCCCTAGTTCTGCTGGCTACACTATTTCTGATACAAGCCAGGATGTCACTGGCCTTCTTGGCCACCAAGGCAAACTTCTGGTTTATGTTCAGCCAATCATCCACCAACACCCCCAGACCCTTTTCCTCTACATAGTCTTCCAGGCACTCTGCCCCAGGACTGTATCATTGCATGGGGCTGTTGTGACCAAAGTGCAGAATCCAGCATTCAGTCTTACATCTCACTGGCCTCAGCCCAGATATCCAGCCTGTCCAGATCCCTCTGTAGGGCCTTCCTACTCCCAGGCAGATCAACACGTCCTCCCAACTTGGTGTCATTTGCAAACTTTCTGAGGGTGCACTCAGCATCCAAAGGAGTGCCAAGAAAACGTTCCAAGGGGTGGAACGTCTCCCATATGACAACAGGCTGAGAGCCTGGGGAAAAGAAGGCTCCAGGAAGAACTGAAAGCAGCCTGTCAGTACCTACAGGGGGGCTAAAAGACTCTTTAGCAGAGTCTGTTGTGATAGGACAAGGGGAGATGGTTTCAAACTAAAAGAGAAGAGATTTAGACTGGATATAAGCAATAAATTTTTTGCAGTAAGGGTGGTGAGGCACTGAAACAGGCTGCCTGCCCAGAGAGGAGTCCTGGAGACACTCAAGGTCACGTTGGATGGAACTCCGAGCAACCAGATCTAGCTGTTGATGTCTCTGTTCACTGCAGCAGAGTTTAACTAGATGATCTTTAAGGGTCCCTTCAACCTCAGACAAGTCTGTGATTCTATGATTCTACGATCCTGTCAAAACTGGGTATTCTGGCAAATAGTGGGCTGCAGTGATCCAAGTCATCTCCCCTATGAGGACAGGCTGAGAGAGCTGGGGCTCTTCATCCTGGAGAGAAGGCTCTGAGGAAACCTTGTAGTGGCCTTCCAGTACCTGAAGGGAGCCTACAGGAAATCTGGGGGAGGAACTTTTCTTATGGGCAGATAGTGACAGTACAAGGTGAAACGGTTTTAAATTGTGAGAGGGAAGATTTGTACTAGATATTAGGAAGAAATTCTTTACTATGAGGGTGCTGGGATGCTGGAAGAGGTTGCCCGGAGAGACTGTGGATGCCCTCTCCCTGAAAGAACTCAAGGCCAGGCTGGATGGGGCTTTGAGCAACCTGGTCTAGAGGGAAGTGTCCCTGCCTGTAGCAGGGGGGCTGGAGCTAGATGATCTTAAAGGTCCCTTCCAACCCAAACCATTCTATGATTTTATGATGTAGATCTCTTGGGTCCCAAAAAAGTAGATTTTGACTACTCTGGTCAAAGATGGAGTTCAGACTGGAGATGACAAGTCACAAAGCCTGTAGGATGACTGTAGGAGTGAAAAGAGAAAGTGCTCTATTTTTGAAGGATATTTTTCCTCCTTCCAGAACAA